CGCGTGCGTAGCTGGCCGCTGGGAATAGCCGCGCCGCTCGTAGATTGTGGCGTAGCGGGCGACTGATGACTTGATGAGGAGATGCAGGTTGTTGTTGAGGTCGTTCTGCGGGCGGTTGTTCTGATCAACGGCACCGTTGACCGGGCACACAACAAGGGTGCGGGGCCGGACCCGCATCGGCTTGACTGACGCGTACGTCGTCTTTGCTGCGTTCGGCGAGTACACCGTCACTCCACGCGGCTGCAGCACGCCGCTGCCCTGCATCAGGCCGCGCACGTAGCAGACTCGGCGAGTGCAGCGCCCCGTCAGATAGCGCTGCAGTCCAGTCGAGATCGTCACTCGCGCACCAATTGCGCGCTCGGTGGCAGCCTCGTGCTCGCGCCCAGGCTCCACCATCTCACCGTATCGGTTCATGACCCACCGCGAAGCGGCCTCGTCAAGCTCGCCCGCGCTCGGCGGATCGACTGCCGTCCCGTTGACGTACGTCGAGTCGTCCTCCATCTCGATGATCGACTCGCCGACCGCGTACGCACAGTTGGCGTGGTCGCAGCAGAGCCGCGCTGCAGCCTCGGCGTCGCCGTCAACCACAAGGTCGGTCACATCGAGCTCGGTCTCCTCCGGGATCGAGTCAAACGTGTTGTTGTCAAATGACGATATGCCCGTGATCCGGAATCGCATGATCTGCGTCGAGGCCTGGCCCGGAAGCGAGAGCGAGAATGGTGCGGTCGGGTTGGTTCGGATGTTTTCCACAGAGTCTGGGCGCGGGAAGACCAGCGCCGTGTCAAAGGTAAAGTCATCGGTCACCTCGGTCTCCGCGCTCTCGCAAAGCACGCTCAGATCCGCCGTGTCGACCTCGGACGTCCGGCCTTCGACCTCACGCGCACGCGCCCGCAGTGCCCGCGACGCATCGTCGTCCTCCGGCGGGTCGTCGACCGTGCCCACTGAGATCCCGGGCGTCACGCTCGCCGTCCGCACCGTCGACGTATACTCGGACCCGCCCGACTTGGTCCGCATCACCGCCGGAGCGCTGGACGACGACTCGATGTTGGTGTCCTTGGCCAGCTCCGCGGCAGCTACCGAGAGCGCGAAAATCGCTCCAAGAGTGAGCGCAAACAGCACGGCGCCCACGATGAGGATCCGCACCAGCCGCTTGTTCGACTTGCGCGCATGGTGCATCTCCTGGAACGCCATCAACAGCTCGTTGATGTCGACATCGCCGTCACCGTCGCGATCGACCTCGTCCAGAATCTTGAGCAGCTCGGGCGAGAGGTTGTCCCTGTCGAGGACCAGTCCGTCGGGCTTTTCGACCGACATCGCTGACATCGCCGACGACGTAGCAGACGACGTAGCGTATGAGTACGACCCTGTCTCGGCCATAATCTGCATGACGTTAGCGCGGGTGGGGTGTGCGTAAGGTGAGATATTGCCTTGCCGCAGCCATAGGTCATCTGCAGTTGCAAAAGCTCTTCTTCCAAAGGGTCACAGGGGTCCGGCGAAAAAATATGCTTTCATGCCGCAGCCATGCAGCCCCCCCCCCCCCCCCCCCCCCCTCGGCCTCTCCGCGACTCTCCGGCACCACTCGCAGGCATGGGTCTTGGCACGTTATCCCATATGGGCGCACGCTACAGCCTTCTATATGGGGGGGAGGGTGGGCACAACATACAGTTCCGAGTAAAAAAGTCAAGTATGGATCTCCGTGTGATTGTTCCGTTTTCTTGTCGTGTGCGGGACTTGTGAACCGAGGCTGATTTTTGGTCAATGCCGTGGCGTCCACCGCCCCGACAAGACCGCATACGCAATGAGCCAAGCCTCCTACCAATTGTACAAGCCACGTAGTGTGTTCCTGTTGTGAAATGCGTCTGTTGGTACTGTCAGAGAGTTGCTGAATGCGTTGTACATTTCTCGAGCTGCTCTATCCTGTGTGCCGCAGGCCAGAACCGACCCACGCGGGTTTCCCGCATGCGACGCCAAACCCCCAAACTCTGCAACAACCAACCCCATGCAGGCATCGACGCAAACACGCCTATCACATGTCCAAGGTCTCCTTTACTACTCCTCCCGCCCTTCTCGCCCTCGCGCATCCAAAATATCAGCTACAACCGCCTCGCACGTGTAGGTACGGCCGCACCGCAGCACGTCTGACACGCTCTCAACTCGCTGTTGGCTGGTTTCACACCACCGCCTTTCCACGACCTTTTTCCCGCCCCTTGGCGACGGCCATGGCCACGGTGACGGCCACGGTGACGGCCACGGCTACCACTCCTCTCCCTGCCACCATGGCTCTCGACATGGCTCTGCGAGTAACCCAGGGCTGTCTCTCACTCGAGGCGCTTGCCCGTGAGGCCACTGAGGCCCACGGGACGGCTGCCGGTCCGGACCTTGTCCTCCGCACCCTCTCGGGCGTGTCGAGCTCGGCGTCCCCGTCCGTCGACGAGGTGGTGGCTGCTGCCAAGGGTCTCACCGCCGCAGGAGCCGCCGCGTTACTTGCTTCTCTCCCCGCCAACCTCCGCCTGCTTGCAGTGGTCGACCCAGTGAGTCATCCGCATGTCCTCGTCCTCGCTCTCGCCGCACCGGCTCCAGACGCCGTCAGCGCCTACTTCACCGCCCTCGCCGCCGTGGCCGAGCCTGACGATGCCCATCGCGCCTTTGCCGCTGGTCTTGACGCTGTGACGGCTGCCGGTTCGACCTTGCTCGCCAGCCTGGCACCAAGCCTCGACTCGCCTGCCCGCCGCCCGTTCTTTGCCGCCGCCGCTGCGCTCCGGGCCGATGTGGCCGGCGCAGCCCTCGTCGCCCCCACCACCCTCCTCGCTGCCATTGATCATCTTCCTGGCTTTGCCGACCTGGTCCTCGCCACCGGCTTTGCTCCTCCGCGGACAACTCGTGACGGCTATCTGGAGGCTCTCCTCGCTCTCGAGCCTCCGTCTTTGACGAGTCCGGCCGCAGCCGATGCGCCCGCAACTGCCTTTCCGGCCAAGCTCTTCCTCGCGCTGGCGACGGCTGCCAGCCCGTCGGCGTTTGCCCAGCTCCTTGGGGCCTCGCGGGTCTCGCCGCGGCTGCTGGCCCTCTTGCGGCGAGCGAGCCCACTACCGGCGCCGGTGGCGAGCGCCGCGAGCGCCGCTGTCTCAACCACACTGCGGGCGTCGGTGCCCAGCCTCCGAGGCGGCGCCTGGGACGTTGAGCTGCTGGCGTCGGCACTGGCTGTCCAGCGCGCGCTCACCGGCGCAGACGTCCCGGCGTACATTGCCTGGTTTGGCGACCATGTGCTCCGCCAGGCGTCGTCGCCGTCAGTATGCGGCCTCCTCGTCGACGCGCTGGGCCTCCTCGTTGTCCACGACCGGCCGGTCTGGCTCCGGGCGCAAGCCCGCGTCATCAAGCAGAGCGCCACAGCCAACATGGGCGCACTCTCCGAGTATATGGGCCTTGTTCGGTCGCGGCTAGCGTTCTTCAAGGAGGAGCTCAAGCCGTACTCGCCGCAGCGGGCCGAGGAGGACGAGGCCGAGGCCGAGGCCAAGGTTGTCCGCGTCATCGCCCATTGGAAGGCACACAGGAGCTTCCCACAGTTTGTCACCTACTCGTCACGCTTCCAGCGCTCGTGGTTCCAGTCGGTCTTCCTGCCGCGGCTGCTGGTCCCGCGCGAGCCGCTTGATCCCGCCCACCGCGAGCTCCTTGTCGCGCTCGTCGACGGCGGCTTTATGGCCGCCGACCAGCTCTGCCACTACGACGCGGCCTGCCTCGACATCAACTACCAGTTTCATACCGGGCCACTTGCCTCGCGCCTGCACGAGCTCTACGCCGCCTTTGCGAACCATGGCTCGGCCTCGGACGAAGCCGCATCGCGCCTCCTTGACACCCTCAGCACCCTCATCTCCTCGCTCGAGTCGGCGAGCGAGCGGATGACCGCTGTCTCGGCTCTCCTCGACGGCTTTGTGCTTCTTGCCCAAGCGCCAGACGCCACGTCGTCGACTGCCATGGCTCTTCGCAGCAAGCTCTACGCAGCCGCGCTCCCATCGCCGCTCGTGCCTGCGCTCGAGGCGCGGCTTCATGAGTTGCTCGTCGACCTCGCGCCGCAGCTCGAGCTGCGCATGCTCAGCATGCTTGGTATGCTGCTCTATGAGCTTGGGCCGCGGGTTGATGCTGCCGAGCTCCTTGCTCGAACGCCTCTGCCATTGCCGCGGCTCGCGGTCGCCACCGCGCTGCTCCATCGCGCTCTCGCCGGTCCTGCGCCGGCCGACCTCGACCTTCCACCCGAGGCGGTCCGGCTGGTTCTTTGGGCCCGCGCCCGCGCTCCGCCAGAGGTTGCAAGCCTCACTGCCCAAGTCCTTAGTCTTGCCGAGCAGCCGATGTTTGCGCTCGTTACCCGCAAGCTTGCGAGCAGCGATGGCCTGAATGCTCATGCGCTCCTCGCTTACGAGGCATCGCTGGCGGAGCCGTGTGCCGACGCGCTAGCCGCTCTCACCCATGCCACCGGTCTCGCGCCGGCCGCGCTCCTCATCTCGATTGATCCTCGCTCGCCGGCCGCGCTCCGCAATGCCGTCGTTGGCTGTGTGGGCTTGCTCGAGCCGGTCGCTGCCGAGCTGGCGTCAGCGGTGCTTGAGGCAGTGCTGACGGCGCCGCTGACAGCGTCGCCAATGTTCGCGCTTGGCCTTCTCCGTGCCAGTGTCGGCCGGCTGCCCGCGCTGGACGAGCAGGAGCGGTCTGCTCTGGCGGACGCACTGGCCAGGGTCCTCGTAGCGTCGCGGGCACTGGCGCAGCCTAACCATCTACTGCCGACCGGCACACGCGCGGTGTACGACCTGTTTGGCGAGAGCAGCGAACTGCCTCTGCCGGTCCTTGCCGCCGCGGCCGCCGCGCCGCCGCGTCACGCCTCGCACCCAGCGCTGGTCCTTCTTGGCGAGCTCGATGCCATGGCCGGCCAGCCGGTGCTTGACCTTCAGCACGGCGCACGGGCCGGCGCGCTCACGCCGTCGGAGAGCATGGTGCTTGGAGCAGGTATCGGTCTGCGGCTACTGCGGTGGGCGCAAGTCGGGGCCGAGCCGCACCCGGCGGCTCGCGCAATGCTGGCAGCAAGTTCCAAGGCAGCACTAGCCGCGATGGAAGTTGTGTGCGGTGCGGGGGGGCTGGTCGCTGACTCGATGGTGGGCGAGGCTGGGCGGACGGTGCTGGCCGCGTCGCCATCGCGGGCCATCGAGGCTGTCGACCCGCAGCACCCAGCGGCTCTTGTGCGGCGGCTCCCGAGCTTTGGCGGTGTCTTTGCTGTGGCACTCCTGGCAAGCGCGGCGACGCATAGCGCGGCCGTTGACGCCAAAGTGTGGAAACGGGTGGTACTTGCCAGCTACGGCGATGCGCTGCAGGCGTACGACGAGGTACCCGCGGCGGTGCGGGCGATTGTGGCGGCTGCGGTCGAGGCTGGCGGATGGAGGTGGGAGACGCTGACAAGCGTGCCGGCATACGCAGCGCGGGTAGCGCATCTGGACGGTGAACTTGTACTGCAGTAAAAGGGAGTGTCACCGCTCGCTCAGCGTGGTCGGACAAGACTATGCGTTTGCTTTCTTCTCTGCGCGCGCAGCGGCGCGAGCCTTGCGGCGGGCCTTGCGGCGCTTGCGGCGAAGGACCTTGAAGTCCTTGCGCGCCACGTGGCCGCGCCAGGCCGACTGGATGGAAATAGCTGCACGAATGAGCGAGTCAAACTCTGCGGCCTCGCGGTCAGCGTTGAGCTGGACCCGCTTGTTGTGGTCCATGATGGCGGTGTACTCGACGTTGAGGACAGCGTAGCGGCGCTTGAGAGCGTCGAGGCGGGCGGTCTCAACATCGCAGGTGGCCTGCAAGGCCTCGAGCTCCTCCTGGGCAGCGGACATCTCCTCGTCGTAGCGGGTGAGCCAGTTTGTGACCTCGGCTTCGGTGCGGGCGCGCGAGCGGCGCAGCTCCTCCTCGGTCGCCTGCGACTTTGCGATGAGCGAGTCGAGGTAGGCACGCTTCTCAGTCAGCTCCGACTCGAGCTCTGTCTGCGCACGCTTAAAGTGCTCCTGGTCCACGGCAGCGCGAGAGCGGGCCTCCTTGTCGAGGGCCTTCTGGTCGTCGACAGCGTTCGAGGCCAGCGACTCGAGAGTCTTGGTGAGGCGAGAGATGGTCCTGTTTCGCTTCTTCTCCTCCTCGTTGCGAAGATCAACCTGCTTCTTCAACTGGACTTGCAGCCGCTCGACCTCTGCGGTGGACTCGCGGGCGCGCTGAACGACTGAGGCCATCTGGTTCTCCCGCGAGCGGGCCTCCTCCACCGAGGTCTCGAGACGGACAATGGTGAGGTCGCGAAGCTCGTTGAAGACTTTGATAAAGTTGACGAGACCCGGGGTGCGGTTGGAGGCAAAGTGCGAGCGGAGGCGATGGACGGCGTCGGGCGTTTGGCGGAGGACGCGGCAGACGGACTTTGTGGAGGCCACCAGCTCTGTGGCGATGTCCTTGAGCTCATCAGTGAGGTCTGCATGGAGGGCACGCTCGCCTCGTCTGCCTGTTGCCTCGCGTCGTTCCCACACATCGGTGTAGCGAGCCTCCAGCGCCTGGTGATTGACCAACAAGTCCACCACATCCCGCCCGGCCACAGCCTCCAACGCCTCGGTGTTCTCCAGAAACGAGCCGAGCATGGCCAGGAGGTGGACGTTGACAACGGCCTCGTCGAGGACGGACATGATCCGCTGCGCCTCCACATTGGTCAGCCGGTGAATCCGGTCGTCCCCGGACATACTGAGCTGGTATGCGAGGGTATGTCACTCGCTATGTCTCGCTGCCCCTGTTCGTCACCTGTCTGTCTTGCTTGACTTGTGGCTGTTGGCGGCTGGGCGCGGGTCGGCGAGGTGAGGTGGTTGGCCGCCGGCCAGAGAGCGGCCGGTCGGCGAGTCGGCGAGTCGGCCGGTCGGCGAGTCAGCCGTTCGGCCGTTCGGCGAGTCGGCGGGCGCAATGAGCGGTCAGACGGCGAGGGGATTGACCATGGGGCGATGAGCGAGGAGCGAGCATGGTGATGATGATGATGATGATGATGATGGGTATTGGGAGGGGGGGGAGGGGGGAATTGAATGAGTGACCGTCAGTCGTCCCCCCCCCTCCCCCCCTCTCAAGTTGGACCACATTCGGCAGGTCACACTGCTCTCTGCCTGCCATGCTCCGTGCTGCTGCTGGCCGTGTCTCTGCCCCGCTCCGTCGGCTGGTCCATTCTTCCGCCCCTCGTCGCGGAGGTGCTACTGAGGAGATCTTCTCCGACACACAGAACGGATACCTCTTTGGCGAGAAGGTACGTGTGCTAAATGGTGGTTACCGTAGCCGCGGTCGGTAGCTGTCGCCTTCTCGCTCTGTCGCTCTGTCGCTCTGTCGCTCTGTCGCTCTCTGTCGCTCTCTGTCGCTCTTGTCGTCATTCAATTTTTGGTGCCATCCCCCCCTGGGGTAGCCATGGCCAGTGCGGCGGAGGGAGGGAGCTTGGGGAGGGACAGGGGAGGGGGTATAGAGGAAGGGAAAATTTCGTGGTCGTAGTGGGTGTGGGTGTGGGGCTGGGGCTGGGGCTGGGGCTGGGGCTGGGGCTGGTACTCATGATGTGTGGGGGCGGTGTGACTGGCTTGGCCTTGGGCTTGTAGCCGGGCGTCCCGCGCAAGAAGGAGCTGTGGGAGACCATGATGCAGATCGGTACGGACAGGGCTGGCAGGTTGGGGGCACGGATGGGAGAAGGAGGGAGGGGGGAGGGGGGGGGAAGGGAGGGGGGAGGGAGGGAGGAAGGGAGGGAGAGATGCTGCCGATCAGCTGTGGTGCGGCCGATGAGCTCGTGGTACGGTCGATGAGGTGTGTCGTACGGGCTGGGCTACATGGGTCTGATGTCTGGTGAACCTGGGACGGCGATCGCCTCTATTGCCCCCACCCCACCCCCTCCACTTGCCCGCCCTCGAGATACTTCCAACAACTACTCACTACTATGCACACCACAGGGATGGGCGGCACCTTTGTTCTCGCCGCTATCGGCCTCGCTTGCGCGCCCGAGACCTCGATCAAGGTCTGGGCCGAGGAGGAGTCGGTCGCCCGCATCAAGCGTCGCCAGGCCGAAGAGTAGGTGCCTAGTAAAGAGAGTGTTACGAATCCCGCAGTGCCTCAGAGGAGCCGCGGCGACGATGGCGCAGGCTCAGGCCCAGACGCAGACACCGATGCCGGCCGTCCCGAGAACTGCGTATTGTACAGCTCGGCGTAGAGGCCGCCGAGCGCAAGGAGCTCAGCATGGCTCCCCTGCTCCACTAGCCGACCCTGGTCGAGAACCAAGATGATGTCGGCCTTGAGAATGGTTGAGAGCCGGTGGGCAATGACGATCGAGGTGCGATCGGCGAGGAGAGCGTCAAGCGCGTCCTGGATGGCGCGCTCAGACTTGGAGTCGAGCGAAGACGTCGCCTCGTCAAGAATGAGGATCCGCGGGTTCTTCAGCACCACACGCGCAATGGCGATCCGCTGCTTCTCGCCGCCAGACAGCCGATAGCCGCGCTCGCCCACAACCGTGTCAAAGCCCTCGGGCAGCGCGTCCACAAAGTCGAGGATGTTGGCGACTTGGCAGGCCTCGCGGAGCTCATCATCGGTAGCCATCCCGTCCGGTCGCGCATACACCAGATTGGCCCGCAGCGTGTCGTGGAAGAGGAACGACTCTTGCGTCACCGTACCGACGTGTGTGCTGAGTGAGTCGAGCGCCACATCGCGGACGTCGTGCCCGTCGATCGAGATCGCCCCGCCGGTCACATCGTACAGCCGCTGCACCAGCATCGTCATCGTCGTCTTGCCCGCCCCGACGGGCCAACCACCGCCGCAAGCTGCCCGGGCGCCACTGAGAAGCTCACTCCGTTGAGCGCGTACGACCGCCCTGACGCCGCCGCACGGTCGTCCACCCCGTACTCGCTCTTGATCCGGCCGCTCATGCCAATGTTGCGCGGCCAGAACCGCTCGGTTGTCCGCAGCTGCGGCAGCCGCTCCATCTTTGGTCGCCGCCGCTTAATCCGCGGCGCCAGCGGGACCGCAGCCGTCAGCAGCCCAATCTCCTCGTCGCTGTCCGGCGCCAAGTCAACGCTGTGGGCCGGGCCAATGCCGCCGCCGTCATCGCTACGCTCCTCGCTGCCTTCGTCGTCGTAGTAGCTCTCGTACGCGCCCGGAATCCGTTGATAGTTGGCGAGCGCGTACGAGAACGAGACGTTGTCAAAGGCAATGGCGCCATCGACGGCATCGAGGACGACAGCGCCGGGCGCGTCAGCAATCTCGATGTCCATGTCCAGGATCTCAAAGACTCGCTCAAACGAGACAAGCGAGGTTGCAATCTTGACTCGCGAGTTGACCAGCTGAGTGATGGGCCCGTAGAGCGAGGTGAGATAGACTGTGAGCGAGACGAGCGTACCTACCGTCAGCTTGCCGTCGATAGCCAGGTTCCCGCCCCACCAGTACACCACAACAGTGCCGAGCGACGAAATAAGGCCCATGCCCATGCCAAACCACACCCCGATGAACGAGATGCGAACCGAGAGGTCGCGCAGCTCGTTAGCCTTTTCGTGGTAGAGCGCGACGTTGTGCTCGGCCCGGCCAAAGACCTTGGTCAGCAACACGCCCGAGATGTTGAGCGTCTGGTTGGCAATGGCCGACAGCGTGGCGTACATATCCATCTGCTCACGGACAAGGACCCGGAGCTTGGAGGCGATGACGTTTCCCGGCACCAGAAAGAGCGGGAGAAAAGCAAGACCGACAAGCGTCAGCCGCCACTCGATGGCAAGCATGATCGCCAGCGTCAGCGCCACGTTCATGACGTTGGTCACAATCTCCACAAACGTGTCGGTGATGGCATTGCGTGCTCCGCGCACATCGTTCGACAGTCGCGACATGACCTCGCCGGTCTTGGTTGCCGTAAAGAACCGGACCGACGACCGCTGCAGGTGCCGGTACGTCGCCGTCCGCAGATCGTTGATGATGTACGACCCGATCTTGGCCACGTAGTACGACTTGACCACCCCAAAGATGCCGACCGCAATCGGAATCGCCAGCAGCCCCATCGCCAGCTCGGTCAGAAGGCTCTTGTCCTTCTGCGGAATGGCCTTATCAAGAATCGCCCGGTACAGCATCGGTGGAATGAGCGCCAGCGCAGACTTGATGGCGATGGCTAGCAGCACACCCACAATCACCCGCTTGTACGGCTTGGCATACTCGACGACTCGATGCAAGAACGCGCGCGTCACTATCGACGTCGCCTTCTTCTTCTGATTCCCTGGGGCCTGCAGCCAACCTCCCGATATCGTACACAGCGCCGACACAGTAGTTACGCAGCGCCGGCATCGTGTACGCAGCCCCGCACCGCGTAGGTAGCCCCGCATCATCATTCGTCCCGCATCGCGCGCACAGCCCCCACATCGCCCATCACGTCATCGTCCATCGTTTCCGCTTCCAATGAGTCGCATACGCGTCGCCCCCCCCCCTCCCCTCCCCCCTCACACAAGCACAGCCCCCATTGGACCACGGTACGTACTCGGTAGATGAGTGAGCCCCATCCATTGGAGTACATGCCGTGCCGGGCGATAGTGTCTCTCTTTGGTGCGTTCGCGTCGAGTGCCTGCACCCGTCCCGTCGCCCCGGCTGGGTTCGCCCGCTCGCTGGCGCACTCTCTCGCCCACTCACCGACTGGCTCTGATGACGCTAACCTCCCGCGCGATGTTCAATGTGGGCGGATGAAGAGCAGACGGGTAGGCAAGGAAGAAAGCTATCCGGCGATGGCAAGGAGCGCGGCTCCGCCGAGGACGACGATTGCGGCAAGCCAAAAGTGGGCGACGTGCCGCGCCTGTGGAAGCTCGCCGTAGTAGAGCCAGCCCCAGAGGCCTGCGACAAGGAGCGCCAGCTGGGTGAGCGGATAACCAATGGTGAGACCGAGATAGAGCGTGGCGTAGATGGAGCAGTAGTTGCCGATCTGCCACAACAGGCCCGTCAGCAGGCCCGGGCCGAGCGCCACCCGCCAGTGCAACTGCAGCGGCGCTCGCATGATCGCCATGTACCCCAGCGCCAGCAGCGGTGTGATGCTCACAACACCGATCGAGAACGAGATAATGTAGTTGATGCCCGACGCCCGCTTGGGCGTCTCGCGCAGCGGAACCATCAGCGACCCGTTCAGCACTCCCAGAACAAGCGCAAAGACCACGCCGCGCACAAGCTTAGCCAGCGGCTTGCCGTCACCCCCGCCTGCACTCGCATAAGCATCATCCAACCCCCGTCCACCGCTGACATTGACTGCAGGTGCTTCGGCAGCCACCAGCGGGGCCGCCGCCCGTACATCGCCAGGCCGGTGCGGTCGCAGCGACTCGTCGTCGACAGCAAAGCCGAGCCAGGCGTGGACGCCCGCCATCAGCGAAGAGTGGAGCGAGGCGAGCAGAACAAGTCCACACAGAAGGGTGGCGAGCGCAACCATGGCCAGCGGCAGCGAGGAGACCTTGTCGTGGTAGGCCAGAGCGCCCCAGAGAAACGAGATCATGATGGTGGTACCAGACCAGACAGTCTGAGCCACCGAGAGGCCGGCGTCGGAAATGGCAGCGAGAGCAAGGATAGACGATGGAGTCCAGATGGCAGCACCAGCAAAGCCAAACCAGGTAAAGACAAACGGGTTGTAGAGGAGGACACCCCAGGCCGAGACAAAGATGGCCAGCGAGTAGTAGATCTGGAAGGCCACCGGGTGGACCTTGGCCGCCGCCACCGCCGCGCTCTTGGTCGGCACGCCAAACGAGCCAAAGGCCACACACGCGCCCACCACAGCCAGGTATCCATACAAGCTGTCACTGGCCATGTCCTCCACCAGGCAATGCCACCTGCCGCTCCCAGAGTGGAATGTCCCCTCCCCTAGCCCGCGCCCGCGCCGCGCCTGAGCACCTCCTGCCTGTCGCCCTCCCACCACAACCAGTGCGCGCCGTCCACCGCAAGCAGTGCCCCCCCTTACCCCTACCCCCCCCCCCACCCCACCCCCATCGACCACCACCACATCCACATCTGGCCTCGCAACAGGCCCACTGTACCAGATCCATCCTCCACATCGCCTCTACCACATCCATACAACCGCTGCCCACCTCATCCAAGCCCCCTGATCACACCTTCCCCATCACCAGCCCTCCTTCCCTTCCTGCCTGGCCCTCGGACCAAGTCCCCGTCCGAGCCGTCCCAAGTCGACCCCCCCCTCTTCCTCCCCCTGCCCCACTCGACCCACGCCCACGACTACCCACAAGACCGACCATGCTACCATGGCGGACATACACCCGCCAGATGTGTGCTATTCATATTGCCCCTCTCCTGAGACTCGCCCCTGCTAGGGGTATGGCCTCCCTTCGCCATGCCACTTCCTCGCAGGCCTCGGTCAAGCGGGCACTCGCCTCGGCTGCCACCTTTCGGGCTCTGGTCGATGGCACCAACGTGGCCCGATATCCCTCACTCGTCGCTGCTGCTTATGATGCACATGCTGCTGCTCTGGATCCGCCTGACATACTTCGTGCTCTTCGCGCTGTCGCTCATGCAGCTACCATGCGAACCCCGCATGCCCGTGGAGAGCGATCGCCAACGTTGATCAAGACGGGAGGGAAGAACAAGAAGCCCGTGTCAGGCGAGGCTGATGCTGTCGAGTCGCTGCGGGTTCTCGGTGGAGTGCTTCTCGCTCGTCTTGCTTCTCAAGTTCATACCATGGGTGCTGCTGGTGCCTCGTCTATCCTGGCCGCAGCGTCCAAGCTCGATCTGCTCCTGCCTGACCTGCTCGAAGTGAGCGACCCGCTCTGGCGCCCGGGCATCCGGTCGGCGGGCGTGCTGGAGGCTGGCATGGCCCGCGCCACTGCTCGCGCTGTCCCCGTCGTCGCCTCAGGCACCTGGCTCTCGCGCGATGCACCACCGGCAGAGGCTGCAGGCGTCATCGGCCGCCTGGCCAAGTCGGGCTGGGGGCATGCCGTGCCTGACGACGTCCTTCGCGAGCGTGTCGCCCTCACCCTCGCTCCTCTGGAGGCTGCTGGTCCTCTCTCGGACGTCCGCGCTGATCACGCCGCCGTCGAGGCCGCGCTGTCCAAGGCCAAGGGCAAGTGGCGCCGGCTGCTCCCACACCGCCGCGCGGGTGGCCGCCGCGTTCCCTCGGCCGCCATGAAGGAGCTCGCCATGGGCCTCCCGCTCGACCGCCTCGCCGCCCACGTCTCAGACGCTGTCGACCTGGCCGTCGCCCTTGGCAAGGTCCTCGCCTCGCCGCAGCGCACCAACCGCGGCGCCACCGACCACGTCGCCGCCGCCGCCGGTCAGCTTCTCAACGGTCTCGCCCTCGCCGGCAAGCTGCAAGTTGTCGACGGCCACCAAATCGCAGCCCTCCTCAACGTCGCCGCTCTCGCCACCCTCGAACCGTCGGCCCCGTTTGTTGAGCAGGCCTTTGTCGAGCTTGCCCTCGCTCCCTCCAAGTTTACCTCGCCATCGCTCCGCCTTCGCGTCGCCCGCGCCTTGGACAAGCTCGGCGCCCTCGCCGCCAACCAGGCCACCATCGAGCCACGCTCTGGTCGCCTCCAGTTTACTTCTTCGCTCTGATAAATCCCGCGTTGCTGCTCATGTCCGCGTTCGGCGCCTCCGCTCCTGCGCCTGCACCGGCGACCCGCCTTCGCCCGAGCTCAGCGCATACATCCGCTGCTCGAGGACCGCAATCCGCGCCAAAAGCGCCTCGTCCTGTCGTGCCATTTTGAGGTCGAGCTCGGCCTTGACCTCGGCGAGCTGCGCCTCGGCCGCCTTGAGCGCAATCGCCTTCAGCTCGGCCTGGACAGCTTCCTCCGACATGTGCGTCTCGTTCTCGTCGCACGTGCCCGAGTTGGACCCGACAACGACGTCCTCGCCCTCGCCCGACTCGTCGCCCACAGACTTGAGACTCGCCGCAGACGCGTGCCGCGAGACCGCCTTGCGTGACGGACGCGGCGAGCGCGAGCCGGCCCCGCCCCCAGACCCGCTCGCCCGCGTCCGCCGCGACGCCGGCGACGTGCGCGACGCCTTGCCCGAGCCATGTCCAGACTCGCCCCCGCGCGGAGTGGCATCTGTCGTTGCGCCTGCCCCGCTGGGTCCATCGCCGCCGCCGCTCGCTGACCCTACGCTTATCACGTCTTCCGCCACGTCGCCTAGCGAGGCCAGCGATACTGTCGAGTGCAGCGACGACCGCGACCGCGCGCGGACCATGGCCGCCACCTGCTCTTCGTCCAGCCGGTCGTAGTCGGCGAGCGGGATGTCAGCCGCAATCGAAGGTGTCTGCAAGCCCCATGCCCGTGGTGCAATGTTGTGGACCCGGAGCGGAGTAAAAACATGCTGGTAGAGCCGGTAGTGGCGGGCGTATGTGTGGATAAAGTACTGCGTCACCGCCGAGACCTGCGAGACGTCGAACAGATCGACTGAGTGCGGCGGTGCATGGACAGCATGAGCAAGCAAGACATCCCGAAAGTATGCAAACGTCGCATCCAGGGAAATGGCCGTAGTCACCGCGTACGCATGTGTTGTTTTGAACAGCGAGAAGATGACCGAGACGTGCGCATCAGTCATCGGCGTGCAGCCGCTCGCCGCCAGCCCACATCCGTCGTCCACCGCTGCGCAGTTCTTCAGCGCCCATGCCATGAGATAGTAGTACAGATCAACCATGACGCCATCAGGCGTCGCCGTCTGCGCTCCTGCTCCGCCCGCGCCCGTCCCACCTGCGCCTGCCTCTGCTCCTGCACTAGCACCAGTACCAGTACCACCAGTTCTGTCAACTCCCGGCTCTTTCCGCAGCACAGCACCAATCATAGCCATCCGCTGCTTCGGCTTGGCCATGCGGTACTGCTGGACCCAGGCCAGGCTCACGTCCACCTCTTCCAGCGAGCCCTACGGGTGGTGGTGGGTGGGGGGGAGGGGGGGGGGGAGGGTGGAGGTGGGGGA